TTTTTTACGTAATAAATGTCTCTTCGTAAAAATCGCTACGAGCAACCGTTCTCAAGATATTTAAAATGGAAATAGTCAATACATATCATTATTAACAAAAAATAAACATGTAAAATATACAGGGTCCGGCAATAGTGCGTCGGGCATCTGTAGCTCTTAATAAAAAACTTGAGAATTTTGTTTAAGTGGAAACCTAAAGTATGTACGGGAATGTATTTCAGGAAAATGTCTTAACTTCTACAGGGTGGCTCAAAAAAGTGTGAGTAAATTGGGATGATTTTTTTTAAATGGAACACCCTGTATATTATTGCATTTTTGGCTTTCTTTCAGGTCACTTTACATAATGCTTAGATATGAGTAAATATATTTAAATAGTTTCAGAGGTATTAATAAATAAATAAAAAATATATATTTTTCATTCTTTATTAAAAAAAATTATTAAAAATACAAGAACTGTCCTGAAATAAAACTGTATTGGATATTTACTTTAGATGGTCTGTACTTACTTTACTATAAATATCGTAATCGTAAATCATACAGGATGTACAAAATTCTACGCCAAACTTTCTAAAATATAAAACAATTTTTCTTTGTTTTTTTTTTTAATGGAACACCCTGTATATTATTTTTTATTAGATGGAGAATTCAAAAATTAACATTTCTTGAATTTAAAGTATTTCAAACTTTTAATGGTTTCGCAGATACACGCAGTATTATTTCATATCAACGGTAAAATACGAGAGAAAAATCATTGGGTGGCTTTGATAAAAATTTACATGGCAAATGCCATATCAGATATAAATCCGCAAATATCTCCGAAACCTTTAAAAATGTTGAAATACTCTAAATACAAAAAATGTTAATTTTTTAATTCTCCATCTACTGAAAAAATAATATACAGGGTGTTCTTTTTAAAAAAGTGAAGAAAAATTACTTTATATTTTTGAAAGTTTGGCGTAAAATTTTGAACATCCTGTATTTAAGATTACCATATTTATAGGAAAGTAAGTACAGACCTTCTAAAGTAAGTACCTAATATAATTTTGATTTCAGGACAGTACTTGCATTTTTCATCATTTTTTTTAAGAAAGGCTGAAAAATATATATTATTTATTTATTTATTAATATCTCTGAAACTATTGAAATATATTTGCTCATATCTTATGTAAATTGATCTAAAAAATAGCCAAAAATGCAACAATATACAGGGTGTTCCATTTTAAAAAATCATCCTGATCCACTCACGCTTTTTTGAGCCACCCTATAGAAGTTAATATATTTCCTTGGAATACATCCTCGTACATATTTTAGATTTGCACTTAAACAAAATTGTTAAGTTTTTTATTCCAAGAGCTACAGATGCCCGACGCCCTATTGCCGGACCCTGTATAGTTATTTGACTGAAATTATAAATTTGGAAATTTTTTCATTTTTTAAATTAATCATATATTTTTCTTCGAAAAAATAATGATAGAACAGTTTCTGTTGAACTTTTGGCACAAAAATATTTCAAATTGATTATTTCAATCTAATAAACATTTAGTCAACATGTTTAATTTATGACAATAATGACAGGTATTGATAATTTCGGTTCCAAATATTTCGAGAACCATTCATCGTAGCGATTTTTACCAAGAGACTTTTTTTACGTAAAAAACCTCGTAAATGTATATTTTTTACTCAGTAGTTTTATACATGTGCCGACGAAAAGTTATTATTCTTCAAGCCAGTTAAAAATATGTACGTGGCGCCCTCTACAAGTAGGAGCCATATTGACATCTAAATCAAATTGGCCATGTCAAAAAACTCCCAGACAACAATTGAAGGGGCAACCAGGAATAACCAGGCAGCTCCAATATTTTCGAAAATGAGATTGTTAATGAATTACCATTTAAAAAAATGGCCGACCTTTTCCTGCAACAATCAGTTCTCTCAATATAACAATACATAAATGGCGACGTTAGTTAGAGCTGCCTTACTCTGAGTTTGCAGCAAGAACCGAGCAGGGCCCGTATTCTGTAACTTTAAAAACGCTAAGCGCTTTTATACGCTCAGCGTATATGACGTTAATTTCCGTTGAGCGGGCACGCTCTTAACGGTTTCGGTATTCTTGTCTGACGCGCTTAGCGTCTTTACTGATTGCGCTGAGCGCTTTTTAAACGATTGCTTTAAAGGATCGTTTTGCTTGTCGAACTGTCAGTGAAAATCGAAAAAATTGTGAATTTGGGCGTTATCTTGCTCTTTAGTGAAAATTACTACTTCTTCTATAAATTTCTTAATAAGTAATTGATAATTTACGACTTGGCAGCTATAAATATTGTTCAAAACATCGAAAATGCTGAGAAGCGTCTTCAACACTTTCCTCGTATAATAAGAACAATGACATATCCGTAGAAAAATAGCTTGAAACGAGGGGTGTCTCACTTGGGTGAAAAATGTACATGTACTGCCAAAATATCATGTTACTGGCAAGCGACTGTCAATGGTTGCGAAGAAGCCTGCCTATGACTGCCATGTAATTATATGGGTGACTGCCGTAAGACTGCCAATGACTGCCAGCGACTGCCAAGAAAATGTACATGTAATTCCAATAGTGAGACACCCCTCGGCTTGAAATAACTCAACAATAGGTTATGAAATTCGCGTAACATTGACATTTTTCATTGTTACATCCGTCAGTTATCAACTTTTGACTATTACCTACATTAGAAATTGTGTTGCCAATATGTGCTCAACGCGTATCCAGAACACGATTCGCATGGCAACGAGAATAACAAAATCGACTGCCTTGCGTTTCGCTGATCGAATACTTCCGCTCACCGCTTTGAAAGCGTAACGTTTTTATGTCAAAGTTACAGAATACGGGCCCAGCCCTTTTTCGATTTCCCACAAACTTATTAAAATGAAGCTGCCTGGTTATTGCAGCCACCCCTTCACATTATTTCAGATTAGTAATATTTGTAAAAAATCGAAATGAAAATTAAATTTTACAACCTGTATCCCCGAAACTAAGCATTTTACATACATTGACATATATTTATACGAACTTTTTTACTTATTTTTATCCGACTTATTTTTTATTAAATACGGACCTGCATTTTTATTTCCGGTTTTGAAAGAACTAGATCTGCTGAGTACAATAATATGCCACACTTTATACTTTTTTTTGTTTTGGGTACCTTAACAACAACAAAGTACAACTCTGGTTTTTTTAATTATTTAATCTAATTATATTCATCGCAACAATATTGACCAGAGCTAATTAACATTGAATAAGGAAAATCGAGTTAATTGAAAGATTCAAATAAATAATATCCAGGTCAGCAATTAAAGATATTATTTTTAACTTTTTTTATTGTGAATTTGAAATCTCAATGTACGATCTAATAATATGCATAATAAATATTAATCGTAGTTTTATAAATAAATAGACTTCTACTAACTAGTTTCTAATTCTCAACATATTCGAAAGGGTTATTACCCTCCCTATTGCATAAATTTATTATTTGTTCAATTTTATTTATAGATCTTTCGATGTTTTACTCCACGTCATTGTTAAGTTTGAAGGTTTATCAATTTGTAACGATGAATAGATTAAATAATAAAAAAAGAGAGCCGGACTTGGAAATTAGTAATTAGTTTTAATGAATTGTGTTCAAATGTGCGAAACAAAAAAAGTATAAAGTGTGACATATCGTTGTACTCAGGAGATCTTTCAAAAACTGGAAAAAAATGTAGATCCGTATTTAAAAAAATTAGTCGGCCTCTGTATCTCACAATGATCAGCTAATTTAAAATCTAAAAATACTTTCAGATAGTCTTAATAAAGTGTCTATGAGAACGGGCAATTAGTTTTTGATTTTCTAAAATCTAACGACAGAAAAAAATTAAATTGATTTTCAAGAAAATCCATTTTACATACATTGATATACATTTATACGAACTTTTTTACTTATTTTTATCTGCGGAATATGCTGCCAAAGTTTCGGAATACAATTCGGTCCACCCTGTATAGTCAAGCTAAGGTTAATTCCAGGTGTATATTCTTTCTAAAATAAATTACACTTTCTAGCACATCCGGTTAAACTTGAAGTGACTGCAAAATTACTCAATTTAAATAAAATGGCTAGAAATACATTTAGTTCAAAAAACGGAATGTAAAATTTTAACATTACAGACAATGTTAGTCTAAGTAAATATTTTGTTTCATAATCTAGTGGGGTAGGATTACCATTTATTAATTTTAATATTATTAGATGCTGTAATTTTAATGTTTATTAATAGATAGAGATTAACGATATATGCAGGGTGAGTCTTAAATAAGTGCAAATACTATTAGGAGTAGTATATTTCGACCTCAGAAAAACACATCTATGAGGTTTTTTCCCGAAAAAAAATGAAAATTTGGAATTTTTTGAAAATTATTTTGGAAATTTGTTATTTTTAAGTTAAAAGACATAATATCACAATAATATGGCAACATAGGTAGTAGATTAAATTTACAAGAAAGAAAATCTAGAAAAAATCCAGTGGTTATTAAAATTTAAGCAAAAAATATTAATTTTTTTATTTTTTTTTGAACGTAATATTTGAAAAAACGGTAAAGAGAAAATATGTTTCTTTTACTGAGATCTACCAGCCCTAAAAATAATTGCACACATTTATGACTCACCTTAACATGAAATGGTAAATAAGTCAAGTAGTCAATAAAGTCACTTTATTCAAACTGTTTTATTACAGTATAACTTCTGATTTTTATAAAATCTTTAGGAAATATTATAATGGAATAGAAAGCAAATAATAATTCAGTATTTATTTTTAAAGAAGCTTTTTACCTACTGCACTGAAAACCTAATAAAAACTATGACTTTACGGTCCACATCTTTCATATAGATTTATTGTAGTTTATACGTCTTGAATAACAAAGTAGAGAAATTTCTAGATAAGCGACGTACAACACGGTATAAGTTTGCCTTGAAATTTATGTCTTTTTGTTTCAGATTTATCGAATAGATCCATGCGAGTTCTGTCTTTGCCTCGATGGAGAAATGTTTTGCTGGTGGCAAGACTGTCCTCCTGCTATGGAAGGGCCTTGCAAGAATTTAGGACCTTTTACGCCATGTGGTAAATATATTTTATTTTTAATTAATTTATTGCTTATGTTAGATAAACAATATGTTAATTAAAAATTAATTTATTTAGATAAAATAATTTAATTCTTAAGAACTTAAAGAGGTTAGTAAATATACCTAACCAACTTTTGTATACCAATTAAGTGTATTGCAAGATAGATTATTGTATTTACATAGAGTCACATTTATGAAAAAACTTTTAGATTATATCTAATAAGTTATACAGGATGCTGTGGTACGAGCATTAGTATATCGGTAACCGTAATAGATAGGAATATGGTTAAATTGGGGCAAAGTTGCCGCTTTGGGATGTTCACCAAGGTACCATCAAAAAAGTTTTAAAAATTTCACGGATTACTGAGTTTTTTGGAAAAAACGGATTTTTTTAAAAATCAATTTTATTTTTTCTTGTCGTTAATTTTTAGAAAATCGAAAAACTAATCTCACATTCTCATAGCCACTTTATTAGGGCTATCTGATTAGTATTTTTAGATTTTAAAATTAGCTGACTGCTTGTGAGATACCAGAAGCCGACTTATTTTTTTTAAATACGGACCTGCATTTTTTATTTCCGGTTTTGAAAGAACTTGGTCTGTTGAGTACAATGATATGCCACACTTTATACTTTTTTTTGTTTTGGGTACCTTAACAACAACAAAACTATTTAGTTATTATTTAAAATAATTTCAAGTACAACTCTGGTTTTTTAGATTATTTAATCTGATTATATTCATCGCAACAATATTGACCAGAGCTAATTAACATTGAATAAGAAAAATCGAGTCAATTGAAAGATTCAAATAAATAATATCCAGGTCAGCAATTAAAGATAATATTTTAACTTTTTTATTGTGAATTTGAAATCTCAATGTACTAATAATATGCATAATAAATATTAATCGTAGTTTTATAAATAAATAGACTTTTACAAACTAGTTTCTAATACTCAACATATTCGAAAGGGTTATCACCCTCCCTATTGCATAAATTTATTATTTGTTAAATTTTATTTATAGATCTTTCGATGTTTTACTCCACGTCATTGTTAAGTTTGAAGGTTTATCAATTTGTAACGATGAATAGATTAAATAATAAAAAAAGAGAGCCGGACTTGGAAATTAGTAATTAGTTTTAATGAATTGTGTTCAAATGTGCGATACAAAAAAAGTATAAAGTGTAACATATCGTTGTACTCAGGAGACTGAGATCTTTCAAAAACCGAAAAAAAAATGCAGATCCGTATTTAAAAAAATAAGTCGGCCTCTGTATCTCACAATGATCAGCTAATTTAAAATCTAAAAATACTTTCAGATAGTCTTAATAAAGTATCTATGAGAATGGGCAATTAGTTTTTGATTTTCTAAAATCTATCGACGGAAAAAAATAAAATTGATTTTCAAAAAAATCCGTTTTCAAAAAAATCCAAAGCGGCAACTTTGCCCCAATTTAACCATGTTACCGAGATACCTATGCTATGCGCGTACCTCAAATTTGTAGCACCCTGTCTATATTTTTTTAAAATGCTATAATCTCAAACAATTTAACTATACTTTCATGAACGCAAAAGACAAATAATAAAATTTGGCTAGCTACTTTTTTAATTTTAATATTTACTTCATATTTTTAAATTCAATATTTACTTCATATTTTTTTAGTAAGTATTTCAGTAGCTCCACCCACGAGAAACAAACCTAATCAAATTTCAACATATCAGTCCACGACACCAGCAAAACTTTCTACAACAAGAAAACCAATTAAATACAAGAAAGAAAATATCACTACACAATCGGGCATGGAATTGGAAGATGACAGTTTGACAAGTACGGTTCGTGATCTACCTGAATCTTCCACGTTTTCAGAAGAAATTAGCACACCAGAAGTAGATGACACTAGCTATTCGAGTACATCGACAGAAGAACCAAAAAGTTGTATTGTTATGGGTAAGGATATTTTTTTTGTTTTCTATGTAACATTTCTTTCTTTATACTTAGGACACTTTAATTAAGAACGACAGTTTGTTTTGTTTAGGTACTGTTCTATATTTGACAACTTGTATCTAAGTTATCATATATTTTTTGAGTTATCATATATAGAACAATACGCAAATTTCTCGATGCAATAGGAAATTCAATGTCTATAATAGTCACATGTCTTCTCTTATGTCACAGTGACTGTGGTAATCACTAAATTTGACGTTTAAGCTGTACAAATTTTTTAGAGGCAGTTTTTTTCGTCCAAAAATGTTAACTATTTTTTTTCCAAAAACGGTTAATGTTAGGTATAGAGTGTTTAATATCAAAATTCATAAATTTTTACAGAAAATGTAAGTATGTAATAAAAAATGGGAGAACCCGTTTAAAATCAGAAAGTTGCTGTTTGCTGTCAACTTCCGATATTTCCGGAAGTGCTGCCATATTGAATATATTTTTAATCGATATATCTCGTTGTGAAACTCGAAAATATTAATTAAAATATAAATACCTAAATCAACTGACATGGTTTACAGAGGATATAAAAAAATGTTTCCGTAGCGTAAAATCTATATTTGTTTTACTTCAGACGAAGATTTTAGTCATTACATCACATGATTTAGTCAATAAAGCAGATAGATTTAAGATAGAAATTCTACATTAAATAATCATCGAATTAGGACAATCTCATTTCACATGCTTCGGTGGGCATAAGGAATTCTGTACATACAACTATCGATTCTGTACATATCCGCAAATTCTCATTGGCTCTGTAATCATATCTAAACTATGCAATTTATTAAAATATTATAAAAAAAGTTTAATTGAATTTATTGAACTTTTTTAGAATCTTTGCTTTATAATAATTTAAAACATTTGTTGATTTAAATTGTATTTGCATATTTTTTATTACATTATTTTAACGTAACCAACCATTTGGTTAAAATGATTTTTTTTATATAAATATATTAATTGTAATTTAATATTGCACAATATTTCTATTACGTATTTTTCTTTAATTTTATGCATATTGCGTTTATAATAAATTATTAAAATACATGCTGAAGTACACGTTTACATTTTTTTGTGCTTGTCGGATTTTTTTACTCTTAAAATTTTATTCAATATTCAACCAAATTGATTTTAATTTTTTTTTTCTGGATTATTACTAATTATTTTTTTTGTCCATTTTTTTTTGGATAGTTTATTTTTAAAATAGTTTTATTACCTTATTAGGTACCTAAGCATTTTAATTATCAAACAAATAATAACAATCGAAATTATTTAACGAAACACACACCCATAAGATCACAGCGATTCCATAGAGCAGCTGACTGAAAATTTGAGATGAGACCTATAATTTTAAAATCAAGACATTCAAAGCTGTCCTGTCAAAATATAACCCCCCCCCCCTTATTTAAAGTTTGAGTTTGAGTCTCCTTTCCCTCAGTAAAGGATTTTAATTAATTAGTGTTTTATTTTATTAATTATAAATTAATGTTAAGAAAAGAATTTAAAATAAAACGAAAAAAATCACTTTAATATCTTTGTGTAAAATATTTAAAAAAATAGGATTATTTCACCAACTTATTTTATAAAAGAGATAGGAGGGAAAAAAAATTATATGCAACTCTTTCGGCACACTGCATCACCCTGTATACTAAAACTAGATCTAAAATGTTATTCAAATATTTCAAAAAAATATAATAAAATTTTAATATTTTTATCAACAATTACTAAAGTAATATATCTGCTTTAACACCCTGTATCGTTGTGAAATTAATGGTATGGGTGCAACACTTGGGTCTATTTTATTATTATGCTATGCTCTAAATTTCAACTAAGCCTATTAATAACAGCCTGATGTCTCATAGTCGATTTGATACCTAATTTATTGTATTGATTGGAATTGAACGTTAATGGCCTGATGTCAAATGAAACTGCATACAATAGATATTGTAATTAATATTATACTAGGTGTTTCAATATATATTCTTTAAAGATGTAATGAAACAAATTTAAATTGAAATTAAATATTACAAAATAATCTCAATTGATTAACAACATGAAATGAAACTAGAGGCTCCAAAGTAAATATAGTTGGATGTCTGGAAAAAATGACTGGATTAAAACCGATTATATAAAAACTACGTCGGTTTTTTGTTTATAACTTTAAAAATATCAATTTTTTTAAATAATCTTTCTATTCAAAATTAAAGTAAATATAATTTCCTACAATTTTTATTAAATTCTTTTCAATGAAAAACTGCTCGAGTTCAACAACCAGTTGAAAATGAGCGTTTTTTGGTCTCTGCCAATACCTACTTTCTGAACTCCAAAACTTTTACTTTATTATTAAATAAAGTTATATAAGGATTCTTGCCACTTAACTGCTTATATAGAAATTTAATTTTTGCGCTGTGTTTGTCATAATGTGGATCAACCTGCTCTCACTACCGGTTTCGGAGCCCTACTTCATCCTCAGGTGAGCTTGGGCAGATCCACAAAATGACAACCACAGCACAGATATAGTTAATTCCGACTTGTCGGAAAGTGTCGGTTAGATATTAAGTCCCGAACGGGAGATAGCGGCCTGCTTGCAATGGTAGTACTTTCATACCACCGGGGCGCAACTATCGATAGTAAAAGGATGGTAAAAGGCTTTTTTTTCAGGCAAGCCAAATTATAAAATAGGAAACAAATTTCTTGCAGTATAGGTATATAATAAATTTATATAAGGATTCTTGCCACTTAACTGCTTATATAGAAATTTAATTCTACGATGTGTTTGTCATAATGTGGATCAACCTGCTCTCACTACCCGTTCGGGACTTAATATCTAACCGACACTTTTCGACAAGTCGGAATTAACTATCTCTACGCTGTGGTTGTCATTTTGTGGATCTGCCCAAGCTCACCTGATAATGGAGTAGGGCTCCAAAACCGGTAGTGAGAGCAGATTGATCCACATTATGACAAACACAGCGTAGAATTAAATTTCTATATAAGCAGTTAAGTGGCAAGAATCATATAATTTTATTATATACCTATACTGCAAGAAATTTGTTTTCTATTTTATTATTAGTCTAGTATGTATTTTTTTTTATTTTAAGTTAAATCTCATATAGACAGTAATTACAACAATTATACCACCTCCGATAATAAAAAACGCAAATTTATATTATATTTAAATTATTTGTATATAAGTGCAAATATAGTTGCAGACGAATGAATCCACTGTCACTTGTTAAAAGAAAAAACTATAGAACGTATAATTGGTGGTAATTCTTATACTATCAAATTTAAATGAAGTGAAAAAGCAAAACTTTTTGCAGTAATGAACATTTTGTTCATTACTCGCAGAAAAGGCAAAAATTGTATCACATCAAGCTGAAGAAGATGTCCTTATTACGAGGAGAACATGTTGGTCACATTAAATAATTACGTCACAATAAGGAGGAATTGGTCATTTTGATTGACCTATGAAGCCCTGTATAAAGAATGTTTTCTTTCTAAAACCACAGGTATCTCAAACACTATGATACCTTTTCTTGTCCTGATATTATATTAATCTTTAAATTATATTAATCCTTAATAAATAAGTGTGAAACAACTTTGACAATGTTTAACTAGGAGAAATTAAAATTTCTTAAAGTTTTACATAAATATAATGACTTGAAATCCATCATTAATGTTTTTAAATTCGGTCTTCCATGAAAAATATCAATGCTTGCTTCATCCAGCTAAGAAGGCTTAGGTAGGGTATATATAATAAATAAACAAAAATACGAGTAGCGGAAAAAGGGGCCAAAAAACCCTACATATATGCTTATTCTGTGCATTAAGTTCATCAGACCGAAGGAAACAGCCATTCGACGACCGGTTTCGGAGATTTTTCTCCATCGTCAGGCCGACTTTGCTGTAACCCTCGATCTGACCAACGAAAAGCAGAGAATAGCATTTGAGTACAATAAGTACTACTATGGCGAGACTGCTAGACGCTCTACGCCATCTAGCGGTAGCTGTGACAATCACAGATCCTGAGGCTGCAAATGGTGCTTTGTGCCTCGTTTGCTTCCCTTTTTTATTTTTTTTAGGATCACTAGTTCATCGTTGCTGATTCCTTCCATATTGATGAAGCCTGAAGGCAGAAACACTGACGGGTAGTCATGTTTTAGTCATGTTTTAGTCATGTCTCATGCCTAATCTTACTGTAGGCTTGCCCGATAAATTCTTTCTCATACTTACATGTTTCTCATACTAATTCCGTCACGAAATTTTGTTAGCAAACATCAAAGCTATCCTAAAACTCCCCCCCCCCCAAAAAAAAAATACAATTTGACTAAGCTAAAAAGAAATGATTTCACAAATAGTAGCACAAATCATAGTGACCCGTTTCGTACGTACCTCAGTATATTTCACTTCTATACACTTCACTGTTAAGTTTTCTGTTAAAATGTTTTGTTAACAGAATTAAAAATATTATAAAAATAGTTATCCTAACATTTCTATACACAGTCGGTATTTAAAACAGTAAAAAATGTCAATCTTTAACATAAAAACAGAATCGATCTTTTAGCAAATCTTAATAATCCCCAACTTGGTGAATCTGTTTCAGGGCAGGAATATAAAGTGGGCGACAATCTGCCGCACAGCACGGGCAATTGTTTGGAGTGCATCTGCGGCGCGGGGGGCCAGATTACCTGCTCGCCCCATCAGTGCGCCCCCGCGGGAGACGAAATTAACGACTATCGCCCGCCGGGACTCCGACAAGGAAACGAAGCCTTCAAATAAACACAGTTTTAGGTTATTCTTGTTTTTTTTGTGTTTTACCTTATTTTGTAAAATGTGTTAAGGGTTGAGTTACTGGTCTTCGTATAACTGCAGGAGGATTGTTTGGTGTAAGTAAATATAAAATGAAGGATTGTCTCTGTAACAATATTTTTTTTTAAGATCCAAAGTATTATGTAATACAAAGATTTTTTAGCGTTTAAGTTTGAAAATGTTTATTTTTTATAAATTAAAATCGTATTTGTATTCGGTTCTCAAGAAAAATACAATACTTGCAGATGCGATTTGTAGAATTTTACCTTAAAACTATATCTTTTGCTCTGGGCGTGGGACCCACACCAAATTTTAGTGAGTTAACTTAGGACGTAACAGTAACATTTTTGTTTTATAAAAAAAATTTCAAATTTAGATTTTTTTTATTTTACCTGTTCACATTGTTTCTAAAATAAGGATGTTAGTAAGAATCATTGGAATCCCTTCAAGATCATAAAATAATTTTGTATAAGGTGCCATAAGTTAATAAAAAAGGTTTACTGTTATAAAAATATCAGGAAAATATTCAGGACTGACTATAAATGCGTCAGTTAGTATAGCTGAAACTTTTACTGAAGTAAAATGTTGACTGAATAAATATGTTGCGTTACTTGCGTAGTTATCGCACTATATAAAACTATGTATAACATATTATAAAAAAACATTTTGACAAGGGTTACTAGTATTTTTTTACAAGTAAAAATTAGCGAATTATTTTTTATATTATAAAGAATGAATTAATAGAAACAATATTTTTTATAATAATCAGGACTCTGGCAAAGAAACGAAACAAAACTTTAAAAAACAATCTTTTCTATTTTTATGTACTACTTTTATTTTGTGTAATATCTTTAAGGGTTCTTGGATAGCTACATAGTGTTTAATGTATAGAAACATTTCTGGAACAATTTATTCTCGACTAGAGAACAAAGTTTTCATAGTTAGAATTATAATATCGATTTTAAATAATATCGAAGCGGCTCACCCCTATAACTTTTTACTTTTTCAGTTAAAAAAAAGAAATTTGGTATTTTAGGATATGACATAAATTAGGATTGATTGACGTATGCAATTGTTTTCGGTCACTTTCTGTTTTACCGGAAATGACTACAATTTATGATTTTTAAATGGCACCCTTGGTATTTGCTTACTTTATTCGATAGAAAATATCACTCTAAATAGAATGACATATAATATGTGAACTTTTGACATTTTTGCATATGGTTTATTTGAAATTATAACTTGCGGTTCGTAACGAAAATTTGACTCGACATACCAAATGTGTGGTATCAAATTATTCGTAAAAAAATTCTTTTTCCAAATATGCTAATGAGCCACTTTCATTACATTTGAAAAAATTGAGTTATGATTAGAAATACGATTTGGGTATTTTTTAAACGGATAGGATAAGACATTAAAAACATTTGACGATCAAATTTATTTTTCCAAGGCTCCTTGATTAAGAATTAGTGTTTTTAACATAGCACTAGATAGGCACTCTAGATTGAAATTTAAAATGCGATTTTTTATTAAGGGAAAATATCAAAAGTTGACGTAAAGTAAAAAAATACCGAGGTTACCATTTAAAAATCAAAAGTTGTAATAATTTCCGGTGAAACAGGAAGTGACCGAAAACAATTGAATGCGTCAATCAATCCTAATTAAATGTCATATATTAACATATCAAATCTCGTTTTTTTAACTGAAAAAATAAAAAAGTTATAGAGGTGAGCCACTTTTGAGACGCACCCGGTATTAATACTAAAGCAACTAAATTAATACCAAAAAATATAATTATAAACGGACCATGAGATCAAAACAAATTATGAAATTCTACCTTCTGCACAAGGAATATTTCTTTTAAATAATCGTATTTTTAAGAATACATATTTGTTTAAATTATTGCAAAAATAAGCAAATATATCTTTTCAAAATCATAATAAGTATAATATGTTATGTTTGTATAATCCTGTAATCAGTCAAAATCTTCAAATACTAAGAGTTTTATTTTTTGGAGTTTTTTGTAATAAACTCTAAGGAATTTAATGTGAAAAAATATATAAAAAGGAACATATCTGTAACAATTATTTCTTGTACAAAGTACTATACGATTATTTTTCGACAAGATAGCAGTCTTCATATTTAAAAACTGCAATTAATGTTTCTGTTTTTTATATTCTCTATTTCAGTCAGTGCTTCGGAGTTGGATATGTAGCAAAAACTCAATTAAAGTAAGGAAATTTAAAGAAAAAAATATTTTTGAATTAATTATTTATTTTTCATATTCTGGAAAAGTTTTATGAAAAATATTTGAACCACAAAATTGAAATGTTTTAGAGTTTCCAAACAAAATACTATCAAGTTTCAATGCCATAACAGAACAAGTTTTAAATTAAATCATAATTAAAACAGTAGGGATCCTTTAATTTATCCAAATTTAGCAACTTTACAATCTATATTTATTTAAACATAGCAACTTGTTTTAATGTTAGTTTCAATGCTAAAATTGTTATTTAGTCCTGTCAATAACACGTATCTCCAACCAAAAAACTATCCAAATGACTCAAAAACTATTGATAAAAGATGCACCTTAACCATTAAGTTGTTTTTAAATTTCTAAATAAAAATTTATGTTTAAAAAATATATGTCTATCTTTTTTGTATCCAATTTAAATAATACTAAACTTATAATTATTATCTGACTTATTTTATTGACGACATACTGTTTTTTACTGAATTTTATGCGTATAATCTAATGGTTTATACATTAAATTTTATTATTTGCTTAAAATGTTTTAATATTTAAAGGAACATTTTATTACATCAGCGGGAAAGTCCTTTAGGAAAATTAATTTTCAGGATAATTCCTTCAATGGGATTAGGTCTGCCCCTAATATTCCGGTCTGACAACGTTATAATTACAAAAGAGCAGCAAAAAATAAATTAGAAATACTTCACATATCCCATGCAGTGGATGTTAAAGTAATTCATATAAAGATTTTACCATAATACAGTAAAATAAACACACATGGGTCTTTCTAAAGTAAAATTAAATAAAATTTAAATTTTTAATTTATTAAATTATAACAAAAAGATTCCATAAATTCTCATCAAAATAAATTATCGTTAATTTTGTATTTATTAATACACTTATTATTTATTAGTTTCTTTGACAGTAGTAATGTGTTTTTTTGATCACACAATATTAAATAATTCAATAGAATAACATTAATTCAGGTTTAAGCTTTAAGTTATATTAGAATGCCAACTTAATATTAGAATCCAAACAATGACAGAAATTACAACCTGCCTGTGAAGTAAGATCACAGGCACAACTGTCACCATCATGCATCGTCCCGTTGGGTAAACACTTAAAAATTTATTGTTTAGTTTCGGTTGTTTGGATTTTTTTTACATTGAAAAATAAATTAACAATTTTTTTATGCATAATTTTGGCGTATCTGATTGTCATTTTCTTGATTTTTTTAAAATTTAGGCTATCTGTCCGAAAAAAAGGTAAAAGTATAAATTAAATTTGCTAAAGGCATATTCGGATTTTTGATATTTACTTAAATGACATGTATAAACATAGATTTGACCATGCGCACATTCAGTTCTCCTTATGCAAAAACTATCTATCAAAGCTGTCAAATTGGTATTTAAAAATGGGCCAGCTAATAACAGATCTGAACTTAATAAAATTATTAAATAGAAATGTATTTTAATGTTCTGATACTTAGTGTCCACCAAATAATACTAATAATTTATGATTATAAATGAAATAATTAGACTTGTACAAGTTTCAGCCATACTATCTTACAAACAATTAGTTTAAATTGGGTATTAAACATTTTTGTTTTGACAAAATGAATATTTCTGTGAATAAAATACTTTTTTTAGAACATAAAACAGTAGTTTATGATTATTAAGCTTGTTAATAATATGGTACCATTTATATACAGGGTGGCGCACCTCATTCACCTCGGTTGATTATACGAAAACGGAAATATGTAGAAACAAAATATTTTATGAGTATATGTAGGCAGGCAATATGCACAATTTAATTATTTATTTTGAAATATACAGGGTGTTTCAGAACTAAAATCCATACCAAAGTTGTATTTCTTCTTATGGAACACCCGGTATTTTACATAATTTTTGGATTCTTGGGCTCAAAAAAAGTTTTTTATAAACCACACTACCAGCTCTGCGAAATAGGACAAGTAATTTTTCAAAGGAACGCTTATCAGGAAGATTCCTATTTGGATATCTTTGAGCATAAGATCTTGAGGCCAAAAATCAATTTTCCTCATAAAATAAAATCACTAGTAACATATCCATTTGTTGCGCCAGCAGATACTGCTTTATTTTTCTTGATAAAATAACGACTACTTTCTTATTAAACTATTGTAGGTAAATTTAAGTAAACTTTTATAATAAGTTATAAATAATTATGTCCATAAACTAATGTCGCCATTGAAAATAGTCACTGTCACTTGAAAATTACCATGGCGACACCAGCCATCTTAATTGCAATCTTATTTAAAAATCGCTTTTATTCAAAATCTGAGCTAAATAGGAACAGGAAACCCTAATGTTTGAAAGAGCATTCGAATCTGCTTCGTTTTTTTTTTTAAATGCTGCTTGTTGCATTTGAAATAACGAAGTTTTTATATAAAATAAATCCTTAAAATAGATCAGCACTTTTTGATACCCTGTATATAAATTTAAGGAAACAATACCATTTTTTAATAAAGTTTATTTCTTTACTTTCAAACTCAGCACAAGGATTAATTTTGAAAAGTAATGTACAGGGTGTTAATAATCTATTCTATAGTCATGCAAATTTAAATATTTTTAAATATCTCAATAACCAAAGATTTTAAAATACCATTTTTCAATAAAGTTTATTTCTTTACCATTAAACTCAGCACAAGGATTAATTCTGAAAAGTAATGTACAGGGTGTTAATCATCTATTCTATTGTAGCATGCAAATTTAAATATCTGTAAATATCTCAATAACCAAAGATTTTAAACGTATTTAACCATTATAATAAAGGCTTTTTTGGGCCTAAGAATCCAAAAATATATAACTTTGGTATGGATCTTGGTTCTGAAACACCCTGTATATTTCAAAATAATTTTAAATGTTGCACATCGCCTCCCCACATATACCCATAAAATATTTTGTTTCTACATCTTTCCATTTTCGTATAATCAACCGAGGCGAATGAGGTGCGCCACCCTGTATAAGTCCTTTATCAGAAAAAAAAAAAAATTTATTT